CAGCTAGTGTTACATCTCCTAGAAAATTTTAGTAGTTCTTTCAGTAGTCTGATTTATAATCGAGGATAATTTCATGTCTTTAGATTATCAATCGTCTTACCATTGCTTGGTCTCATGTCGTTATTTACATCTGATAACGTCGCGATGACTGGGAGCGGCATCAGGAGAGATGGAGTAAGCCTACACGTGGCGTTTTCAGTAGCTGATCACTAACCGATCATTAATAGTAGAAAATTCAGCAGGAGACGGGCCCATTCTGCCCCTCTTAACACGGCCGCCCCTCCCCCCCCACCACCGCCAATCCCGACATAGCCTAAGATCTTCTTTCATCACAGCCTGAGATCTTCCTCCTCTTTTAGTATGTTTTGCAACTGGATTACTTTTTCTATTTTTAATTCGTCGCATATTACTGCCACGTGGTAATGTTTAGCGTTTTTGTCACTGGTTCATCCTTAGCTGCCGATAATAAACGCCTACATATCCAATTTTGATGAAGTAGTAGGATGATGACCTCGACTGGAAAGTGTTTCAAGACTGATTAGAAGCTTAGAAACCGCAGAAATACACAAACAATTATCGCTCCAATTGGAGGCTTCTCGCGGACTTTGTCGCTTGCGTCTCTGCGACCTTCGGGGCACGTCCTGTCGTTGGGGAAAATTTCTACAGAATACGACCCCCTTCCCCCCTCACAAATTCTACTTTTGCTACGACCACTTCCTATCCTCATCTTACCTACCATCTATCTAAAGCCTTCGAATAATTTCCTGAAACTTATCCCAATTCCCAATAAACCTACCACTGTGCGGAAGTGGGATATGTAACGCATGCAAAACTAGAAAAAGTGAGAAGAGTAAACCATTGGAACATTTTTCACTGGCACAACTACGACCCCCTTCCTCAAACAACCCCTCCCCTCGCTGGGAATCTCCAGCGTGCGACGTGCCGTGGCTGTCTTCCAAGTAAATGCGCCGTAAACCTCAGAGAAAAGGGTATTAGCCGGCTACTTCACCGAATAATTAGCGATATGGAACAAAATACTGATAAAACAGTTGTAATCTGAGGACATAAAACTTACTACTGATAAAACCATTAATAATTTCTGGACATGGAACTAGCTATTCATAAAACTAAAACGTGAGACTAAAAACAGAACTTGTCCACTCAAAACATTTACGGAGTTTGGAACCAAGGTGCCCACTATTTACTTCTGCGCCATATACCGAAGGAACAAAGCAGATTGAGAACTCTCTCCTTACTGCTTGCGCACTGAAACAAGGCGAAACTTCCACTGAAATTTCCTGCACATCACAGGATGTGAAAAATTTACAATCAGTGCAACTCCCGACCCCCATATAAGGGGAACCGACTACCAATAGCTTTTCAAATACCGACCTCCCCCACGATAACCAAATTCGTTCCTCGTTGTGAACTTCAACAATGGTGTGCCGTATCCTTGATGATGGACAAGGTAGAGGAGCTGCGCTTTTGACCTACTGGTGAAGGTAGAGCACAGCACGTCCTTAAAGCAAAGGAAGGGGTCGTATTGGGAGAGATCCACACAGTCCCTGTAAAATTGGCAACCACTGAATAGCTGGTGAGGATGTGTGAGAAGTAGAAAAGTAGAAAAAGTCGAGAATAAGTGCTCCAAAAGAAAATGGAATTCCCACCATTCCAGACTTCTTTACTTCAAGTCAACAGTTTTGGGGAATTGGTTTGGGGTAGGAAGGTCTAGTTACCAATGTCAGAGGAGGACTGCGGGAGAAAGTCGCATTTGGAAAAAAACTCTTGCAATTATTTTTGACCCTAGTTCACCTCATACAAGTTAAGCGCACAATATACGTTATTATCCTCTTTGAAAAATTCAAGAATATGCGCAATAGCTTACTGTGTGAGGCATAGTGACGAGCGGTTTCTTGTCAGGCATATTATCTTGCCGTGGAATCGTCCTTTGTTGTCCAGGCTTGGTATGCATTCCTCTGGCAGATGATGGTGTTTGTTGAGAAGGCTCCATCGTTGAGAGAAAGCAACTCTTTTCTGAAAGACAATTAATAAGTATTGCATTAATTTATAAGAAAACGAGTTCTGCTAGTCAAAAATAGAATAGACATTCTTGCTCTGTGTGAAATTTTTTTACAAGGGAAGGATGGTAGGTCGAAGTGGCCATTTGAAATGAAATGTATACCGGCTGAAAGGTCTTCGGACGGGGATTACGAAACCGTCTTCCATATCTGCTGCGGACCTCCCAGAAAAAGTTACGGAGCTTTTTAGGGGAAGAATACTGGCATTCAGTACGAATTGGTGGCGTAAGATCGTCGCAGCGTGGCCGAGTGGTTACGTGACAGGGCTCACTAATGCCTTAACGGATCCTTGATGCGGTTACTGTTTTGCATTTTTTTTCGAAAGTGGTCCCTGTGCACTTCAAAGCTATTTTGCATAACTCTTGTGCCTGATAATGTCGTGACGTAATGTTTCTGAACTGATGGAGCCATTGTGGACGATTCCATGGAGAACATTTTTTGGCTGTTGACTTCTTCTTTCATTGATTTGAAAGCATATTTTTCACAAAACAAGTGCATTCCAACGAATGAGTTTGCCCTGAAAAATGACTTTATTCTCCAAACGACATGACTGGAAACCGAATCCGAAACCGCACGAAGTTGTGCGCAGAGATGAGTATAGTTGGAAAAAGCTCACAAATGACATGACGTTGATATGACAATCATGTCGGAGATCGTAATGCGCAAACCTTCATTCATCGCTCGCATATTGTTGAAGGATGCTCTATCCCAAATTGAAGCTTTCGTACGTTGGAAGTTTTCGGCTCATATGACAACCCTTCAGCCAGAAATGTTCTCCATGAAATCGTTCGCAATGGCTCCATCAGTTCAGAAACATTACGTCACGACATTATCAGGCACAAGTGTTATGCAAACTAGCTTATGAAGTGCACAGGGACCACATTCGTGCAAAAGAGTAAGCGCATCGAGGATCCAAACCCTGACCACGCATTCTTGAGCCCTACAACGTAACCACTCGGCCACGCTGCTGCGATACGCTACCTATTCATACCGAATGCCAGCATTCTCCAGGGCACATCGTTGTTGGGGAATCCCCAATAGGGGGTCGTATTTGGTCGCCAGGAGGGGGGTCGTATTTGGGCTGAGAAAAATTTATTTTGATAGTTGATTTTTCTCGCTTCATGGACGTTGTAAAGGGAGGGGGGTCGTATTTGATCATTTTGGGCGTTGTGGGAGTGGCGGTTGACTTTTGGTGATTTTCCTGTTTCACGTACTATATGCCCCCCCCCGCTCGACAGCAAAATTTTTGGTAAAAAGTACTATATGCCCCCCGCTCGACGGCTCGATTCGATGAGGAAGGACAGAGGGCTGGGGGAGGGGTCGTACCAACTCCCAAAAAAAAGGGGGGGTCGTATAGAGTCGACTAAAATCCCCAACCAATGATGTGCCCTGGTATTCTTATACTTATACTTTATTCTTTATCGCACAGACACAAATAGAGTGTTTTTGATCATTTGTGCGAAGATTCTCGAGGAACCGGCAGCGGTGAATAATGTCGTCCATCTTCTAGTCATGTCTCTGGTCCTTGCTCCAGTATAACGAGCGAAGTCAGCCCTGGTATTCTCCCCCTTAAAAGCTCCGTAACTTTTTCTGGGAGGTCCGCAGCAGATATGGAAGACGGTTTCGTAATTCCCGTCCGAAGACCTTTCAGCCGGTATACATTTCATTTCAAATGGCCACTTCGACCTACCATCCTTCCCTTGTAGTTCTTTTTTACAATTCATTCTCCCTTATTTTCCAGTGATCAAACTAGAGTGCCAAGCCGGGGTGACCACTGGTATTCATTCAAGAAGCTGAAATCGGCCAAGGCCTTCAGCGAAAGGTATGGCTAGAATCGGCGTATTTTTTTCAATTTTGATCTCACATACAAGCATCGGACCATACGCCACGAGCTCGACTAGACGCTCATGCAGCAGCTTAATCATGAATGCCAACGCGCTAAGGCCTTGCGACACTACAAAATGGTGGAACTTAGAGAAAAGACGAGTTGCGAGGAGAAGCGAAGAAACCGTGAAAAGGTACATATAGGCATTGATCTAGTTCCGCAATCCTCATTCTTCGATTCTTTGACTTCTCAGATGGTTCGCGATTTTTTCAGTTCGTCAATTCTTCAGCTTGCCAAGGTATGAACGTGGCCTAATTAAGTACCCTATTTTCTGAAGTATAAGACGCACCTATGAATAGGGCGCATATCGCAGTTGAACATCGCAGTTGTTTTCACATTTTGCAAGTTTTTTGCTTATTCTCATATTAGTGACGTATATTCAACAACAGGTGCTTGAAAACCAATTAGCTAATTAAACTTTGCAAAACAGGCAGGAAAATTGTCGCTGTGCGTATTTTTCGCGAAAAAGCGACTCATGTCCCTGAAGGTGAGTGGTAGAGATCGTCTCATCGGGCGAACAGTTGATGGAAGAGGTTCAAAAATTTGGCGCATGGTTTGTGCATGCGATCGCTCCCAAAAGGGAGTCCGGTGAAGCATTAGTGTGTCCGGAAAGTTTTGAGAAATTCCCAACCAGCTTACTTAACGCTTGTCAACAACAATAAGAGATGGAAGTTTATAGTGATAATAAACATTGTCCATCCCATTCCCCTTTCCTTTTGGGCGGCACTCAACTTTTGAAACTCTTGGTGTCTTTTGAGTTTTTTTTTTGCAATAAACATTTGGAGTGTCACAGTGTTACCAAACATCCAAATATCGCATGTGTTGAGTTAAGCTTCAGTTTCGGTTGGTCTCAAGATGGTCTTCTGCCCGAGGTCATCAGTAATTCTT